TGAATTTTCTATGTGTCTGATTTTTTTCACTTCTTTCCTTGTGAAGCATGTAATAGTTATTGATATTAGTTGCCCACTAGTTTTTGTAATTGGATTGATTAATTCATTGTGATATTGGGTTTTAAATTGATAAGGAATTGAATTTACCAGCAGTTTTGTATTGGAACTTACATAATTTTGTATTCCATAATTACCGCAAACTTTCCGTTGTTTTTTTGGGGGGAGGGGTTCTAGGGGGAAGAGCTCCAATCCTGTGCTCAGCTCTGCTCAAAGAGACACGGGTAGAATTGACTTGAAGGAACTTATCTAATTGACCATCAAATTGACAGCACGGTTTTTGGACTTTTTTCATGATAGAAGATGTTGCCTGATATAATTGAGAGTGGTGTACAATTCCTCAAGTCCATTGAAGCTATGTTGTTTTATGTCAGACCCATGCCATGGGACTAACGTGATAGCTTAATTATGGTATTGTAATTTCAATAGCTTTGCTATTGATGGGCTTATAACCTGTGTGCATGATGGTTTTTTTAGAGGATGCATCGATGGTTTTTTTAGAAGATGCATCGGGAAGCGCTGGTGTGGACTTTGATGAGAGGTTTCGGAACAAGACATATCATGTTCCTTCCCTTTTCCCCAAAACCGAAGTTAGCCAGAATGACAACAATTCTTCTTTACTGAAAAGTTTGACAGTGTGTGGTGCAAATAGTGGTCAGCCTCCTCCTCCTACTCCCCATGTTGCTGCTATTGCAGTCCTTACAACCCAGAAGAGTCATACTTGTGATACATTTGCATTCCCTCCTCCACCTCCTGGTGATAGAAGACGAATTGGACCACGACGTAAGTTTTATTTTTCTTTTTATATTTCTTCACATGTACACTTCTTCTGAACCAAAGACAGAAACACCCATGGTATGTAATTATTCAGCTAATTTAATTATAGTTGGGAGGTACATCTTGCAATCTGTTTATTTGGTTTGATGAGACGAATATGTCACAAGGACAATTTCTTACTTAAAGCAACCACAATAAACGTGCTAAAGATTCTGTTACAGTGTTGCTGATTTTGTTCTTGTTTATTTTCTCAGCATGTCCAGTATGTTATGTTCCTGTAGAGCAGGCTATTGCTAGTATGCCGAGCTCCCCATCACCATCACCTGTGCTTGGTCATTTAACTTATTTTCGTGAAGAAAATCCAATAAAAATTGAACCACATGGAGGCTCCGATTTTGGCGGGTATCCTTCTCTAAAGCAGAGGAATGATTCTTTTAATATAAAAGAGTCCATGACTGTGCATTGTGGGTACGATTCATTCTCATAGTCTGTTTTTTTCATTAGGTGTTTTCTATATTTCACTTTCTTTCTATATCTATTGCTTTTTTTCTTGTGATTTATTTCTGTTTCATATTGGTTTTATTTGTTCTTTTTCTTTTTGGACCAGTTTTGTTAAAGGATGTAGACCTGGTCACCAAACTGGATTTGATATTGATGCAGCCGATCTTGTTGAGTTAGAGCAGTTTCATGATGTCATTGTTGCATCGGCCATATTTGGTAATGCTGAGCATAAGCTATTGGCGAAGTTTCAAATTTTGTTGTTTTATTTATTACAGATGATACCTCTTACATTGCCCCCCCCCCCTTCTCCATTTAGACACAAGGAACCCCTTTCCCACTATCATACCGTGGCTAGTTGAAATTTCCAATCCTACGGCAAGTCGTTGGTTTTTGTCTAACGATTTACTGTTTGCAGGAAATTATGACATAATTCAACAACCAAAGAACATAAGTGACACTGCAAGAAAAAATATTCCATTTTATATGTTTGTTGATGAAGAGACAGAAGCATATCTGAAGAATTCTAGTCTCTTGGACAATAACAAGAGGGTTGGATTATGGAGAATTATTGTCGTCCATAGCAATCCTTACACTGATGCACGACGCAACGGAAAGGTCAGTTTAGTTTCTTTTGGTCTTGTAGCTTCTCCCTCTTCATGTGTTCATCCAGATGGAATTATGTCCAAGTCACTATTTGAGGAGTTGGAAACAACTATGTAGCATAGATAAACTAAATCATTAAAACAAAATGCAAAATTGAGATGCATGAGATTACACATTGATGTTGATGACTTCATGTTTATGTTTATGTTTGTTATTGTTTCATCGACTCTATAGCAATGGACAGGCAGATGCCATGTAGCATATTTTTGTTATGTTTTTTAACCAAAGGTTTGTTTCTCTATTGACAACAACGGTTGTCTCATATGAAACCCACAGCATATGATATGTGTAAAGATTCAACATTGACTTTTCTCTTGTCCACAACTGCTTTTTCTTTCGAAATTTCTCTCACCATCTCCCTCTTGAACCCTCCATGGTTGCCACCCAACCTAGCTGCCTTGTAGCCCCCATAATTGAATCCTTCAAAAACCGCCCTAGAAGAGAAACCCACAAGAATTGAAGTCGTACTAGCAGCTTATAAAAGGGCTCTTGGGATGACTTGAGTGCCACTCTCCTGCAGAGAGAAGGTGTGACCACGATCCCTATCAAGGTGTGAGACAGGCTATGAAAAGCAGTGCAGACCAATTTACTTTTGAGTGCTGTCCATCGGGTGCTTGGCACACAGTTTTTGGTGTCAGTATCACTAGTGCTCTAGTATGGCTATATGAGAATGTCTTAGCCTCTTAGGTGTATGTCTTGTTTGTTGGTGTTTGAGTGTGAGTGCCTTGTGAGGTGCATCTCTAGTGCATGACTTCCTTGTGCTATGTTAGATTACTGTTCGCAGTGTGAGATTTCTTGCTGTGCATTGTCATAAGTTTTCATTCTGTACAAGTCTTTTGCTTGTATTATAACGTAGAAAAGCTTCTTGGTTATTTTATTTTGTCAGAGCTTGTTTGACATATCACTTTGTAGAGTCATATATAGTATTTGTGGGTCTTTCCAACTAATTATCAATTGGTATTGAGTTGGATGCCTTAACATGGAGAGTGTTTTGTCGTGCTAGGTCACTAACATATCTTTTTTGTCCTTATTGGACTCCAGGAATGGATTGGATAGAAATGTTTTTTTTGGCGAAGCCCTTTTTTGTCTATATTAATTTCTGACCACATGCAATCTCCATAGCCAATTTTCCAATTTTGATTATAAAATCAGAAGGTGTTGCTTTTGATACTACTATTTTGTACGATCCAAGAACTTCCATAATATTGGCGTGATTTGGGTTTGAGCAACGAATCCTGACATGATACATCTTGGTTATGAAAGTGGAGTGGAAACATGAGTTGGCTTTTCCAGTATCGATAGAATGATCATTGTAAACTATCTGCTTCAAAAAGAGAGTTTTGAGGATGAAACTTCAACCTTCTTTCTTCGATTTCTTCTGATAGGAAACTAAATGCAGTCTCAATTTGACTGACTAACAATTTTTCAAAACGACGCTTTGCTTACTACTTGGATTTGCCTGAAATTTATCTCATGCCAAACATAGAATATGATTATTGTAAAGGAGAGCGTTGGGATCCAGCCAAATTCTTGGTTTTGATTTAATTAATCAATTGGCAAACATCATGAAGTTTGGTTGTAGGCTGATCATATCACAAGTTAGAACAAAGTTGGATCGGAGCTGGAATACAAGAGTCTTTTCAGCAAGAGTCTGTTTAAATGATTAAATCCCCTGTATTTGTACAACAAGTGTGCCTTGTTATATACTAATCATGTTTCACAAGCTTTGGTCTACCTTTTCACATGCAAGTGGAGATTATATGTGCAGGTAGTGTTAGAACTTGTCCCAGCAATCAAATAACATTTTTCAAACCACTTCACTCATTGCCAATTGGTACCAAATGATATGCGTTAACAATTTCCATCACACTTGATTCTATAATAAAATGATATCTATGGGCTATCACGTGAGTGGGCATTATTTCAAGATAGCCTTTAATCTGTAGTCGAAGTTTATTTTTAAAAAGTGCTCACAGGTGACTACTTATGGGTGTATTATGACTTCTTAAAGTCTTGGACAGTTGTTTGTGACATTTTGTGCTTTGATAGTTTTTCTCCTTGTTTCTCAGACCAGTGTTTTTTGCTTTTGGAGAAACTCTTCTTTGATTACAAAGACATCCTTAGTTGCAAATTGGAAATACACAACAAAAAAAAAAAAAGACAATTGTAAGAAGAAAACACTAGTTTTGTTTGAAAGAAACTGAGCTTTATGTATAAACATATGAACTGATATGATGAAGTCCAGAGTTTTAGAACATGAAGATGCATGCCAAGAGGGTTGAACTTTCTCAGTTTGCAGTCTTTTTTCTTGATGGTTCTGTTGTTTTTCTACACTCATAGGTTTCTGACTAATTCATTTTATGTCATGTGTGTAATTTTAATATTGATCATCTTATTCAAATTGAAGCTCAAACCCTCAAGGTTTCAATTTTTGCCAATTCTGGGGTTCTCCTACAGCAGACATATGCTTCCAAGTCGCAACTGATAGATGCATCTTTTTCAGCTGCAAGAATTATAAAATGAAATAAATAATATATATTGGAGTCTTATAGTTACAGTTGTTCTCAGTTGAAAAGGCAAAAAAAGAAGGAAAACGGAGGTACGAGGTGAGGGTTAGCTTTGGGGGCGAAAAGATGCCATATTATCTGCCCAGCATCCAAATTGATGTGTTGATATCTTTTATTTTAATGAAATAAATGGAAAACTGTCATTTAGGTTTTAGCCAAAAATGTTTATCCATTAGAACTTTTATATAATTCACGCCCAAAAAGTTTTAGATTTTACTGGAGAGGATGCATGACCAATTTAGGTTCTACTAGACAGGATGCATGTGCTGCATGGGCCAGGTGGGCAATCAAATGTCAGAATCTATGCTCAGATAACTTCATGAATCATCATAACACAAAATATTTGCATATGTTAACATATCTCCCATATGTTGACGTTTGTCTATATAGAGGTGTAAAACACTATGCATTTGCTTGTACTTCTATATAGCATTGATATGACACAGAATGTTTGTGGCAGGTTCCAAAGCTTCTACTACACAGGCTCTTTCCCAATGTTCGTTTTTCTTTATGGATTGATGGAAAGCTTCAGCTTGTTGTGGACCCATATCAGATTCTTGAGAGGTATATCCTGTCCTATTGGTGTCCCCTTTTCATGCATTTGGTATCCTGAGTTTGATATTTTCTTATTTTACTGGAGGTCTTTTGGTTCATACATTAAGATATCTGAAGTTTGATGGGCGGAATGCTAAATTAAGCAGTCATGGTTTAAATGGGTCTTATTGAGTGCAGTTCAGCCTCCCATCCAAGTCTCCAAGCAGTTGCAGGGAAATTTACATTTTATGGATTGTCAGATATTCCTTTCTAGCGTATTTGCATATGCTGTTAGTTATATGAAAATAATTTTAGACCTCCTTTGATTAAATTGTGGGTTTGCAAAGCCGTATGATGCATTATGTTTGTGATGACCATTCATGGATAAGTTTGTGCTTAATTGTGCGTGCGAATTATTTTAATTGGTTTGATGTAATTCTTACAAAAAAGAGTCGTTTTACATTGTGGTTGCATCACCAGGGCCATTGTCATGACTTTCAACTTCATTTTTGCCACCCTTTTGTCATGGTATCTTTTACCTTGTTTTAGTACCCGAATGATGGAAATGAATTCAACTGTGTATTGTGCCTGACCAACTGCTATGTCAACATTGTTAACATGCTCTATCATTTTTTGATGAAATCATCTTTACAGAAAAAGCAAGGCATGGGAGAATATGCCATTTACACATCGATGTCGAGCATTGGTCATCATCTGCTCATGAATGCAACATCTAACCTCAACTATTTTGACTATTTTAAATACAATAAATTTTTTTTTTTTGTATTGAGCATAGTTGTGAAGTTCTTATGAACGTGTAACACCCGTGTGGTGCCTAAACCACTCTATTGTTTTAGGTTCTTGTGGCGCCAAAATGCTACTTTCGCTATATCAAGACACTACACACGCTTCGATGTGTTTGAAGAAGCTGAGGCTAATAAAGCTGGAGGGAAATACGACAATGCTTCCATTGATTACCAGATCGATTTTTATAAAAAGGAGGGTTTGACACCGTATTCTGCATCTAAGCTTCCAATAACTAGTGGTAGGCCCATGCCATGTGTTTACGAGTGTGTTTTTGGCATGTGTCTGCAACTCAAAATTAACTTTTTCTTTAACCGAGTTTTTGCAGATGTACCTGAAGGATGCGTTATTATAAGAGAACACATACCCATTACAAATCTGTTCACCTGCCTATGGTTCAATGAAATTGATCGTTTTACTTCCAGGGATCAATTAAGCTTTTCCACAGTAAGGGACAAAATAATGGCTAAAGTCAACTGGACCATCAATATGTTTTTGGATTGTGAAAGGCGGAATATTGTGGTTCAGGTAATTTATTACATATTTCCATAAATGCTTTGCTATTTTAGTTAGGTCTGATTTTCTTCATTTGGTGGCCCACTCATGCATGAATGTGCTATGAGTAACTGTCTGTGCAAAGATGAATCTCAATACCTCATGCTTTGCTCTTCCAACCACATTATTATTGGGGACTTTAGTGTGCCATTCAGGTGTGCCTCGTTCCTTAATTTATTTTAAAGAATAGGTGCACATAGCTCCTTTTAAGATGTGTACACGGTGGTGCAAAAAAGGCGCCGTGTGTGGACGTTTTGTGTCAATTGAATCATCCTTTTTTGTTCTTAATAATAGCATGCAGTAAAATTTGGCATTCACCTGAGGAGACATTAGAAGGATCAAATGGCGGGAAGTTTGATAAATTTTAGGTGACCATGACAGGTTTGATTGAAACAAGTAGGGATTGATTGTTCTTATGTAAGATGTGATGTGAGCATATTAAAGTGACTTAATGATCAAGGGACTTTTTAAGTCTTATAGAGTATGGTGCAGAAATTTGTTTCTGAACCCTTTTTTTGGTCAGCGGTTACTGAGGTTTTTGTTTTTCTAATTACGGCTGTTCGTTCGATAATTGAACTTGTACAGGCATACCACAGAGATTTATTGGAGCAAAGGACTCGTTTAGCTGGTTCCATAAGTCATCCTCCATCACGACCACCACCACCACTACCTTTGGTTCGTAATAATAATCCGGCTGTTAGAACTCCAGCGAAGAAAAATCCCATTAGACGTGGAAGAGGAGATAAGAAATCTGGTGCAAGACGACATCGCAAAGTTGCTGCTGGTAATAGGGACCACATTTTAGTTTGATTTTTTTGAGGAAAAAAAATGTTTTTTCATTCTTTATTTCAATTATTAAACGGGCTAGGACGATTTTGGTAGATGTGTAGTAATCTGGATGAAAGAGAAAATTGGATTCTTATGAGACTGTCGATACATCTATTCGTTTCTGTTGTAAATACTACTCACAGATACAAAGACTTTTTATACAAGTTCATGCCACTTTTCATGTTCCTGCAAGAATTTAGAATTTTAGATCCACTATTTTTCTCTAATTTTAATTCAACTATTTTTCTTCTGTTGAGAACGAGTGAATGCCTCCGTGCTTGGCCGTCTCGTAGCATTAGAATGACGTGTGTTAAGAAGAAGATATATATATATATATATATATATATATATATATAAAATAGATAAATAAAATGATTTTTATTATTCATTAAAGTTAATCTAACGGTTAATATTAACACTCTAAATTTAATAAGAAAAATAGACGTTTAAGAACGTGTTTGAAGTGATTTTTTAAATGTATTTTTAAGAATTATTTCTCATAAATATTTTTAAAAAATAGTGTTTAAAACTGTTCTACCACTACTTTTATCACCCCCACCGCTCCACCACCGTAACCACCATTGCCGCCGTCAATGCCGCCACAATCCCTATCGCTACCCTACCATACCCCCACCACCACCACTACCGTTGCCACCACCTTTCCACCTTCATCACCAATTTCATTGCCCCACCACCACCACCATAACCATTACCACCATCATCAATTTCATTGCCCCACCACTACTATAACCATTACCACCACCACCATAACCATTACCACCACCGCCCACCACTATTTCCATCGCCCCATTACCACCATCCCTAATCACTACCGTTGTCGCACTTTATCACCACCGCTACTGTCCTACCGTCACCCCCACCACCCCCACCACCACCCCATATTCATCACAACTATCACCACCATCGCCAACCAACCATAGCCATCCCCACCATTGCCGCTGCCCCACCTCCACCCCTACCCCACCCCACCCCACCCCCACCGCAACCACTATCGCCACCCATCATCGATTGCTACCATTATCGTCCATGGCCATAACCCACCACCATCATGATCTTGTTCTTATATTTATTATCATTACCACTATCATCTCATTATCAACGTCGCCCACCGTCGCAGCAACACCCACCATTATCCATCGTCGCCCACCCTCGCCACCAGCCACTGTCACTTACCACACCACTATCACCTACCCCTACTACACTTATCACTACTGTCGTTTCCCATCACCTATTACACTATCGCCTAGAAGTACCCAACGTCGCCCACCACCACCATCATCATCGTCCACTACCACTGTCATCGACCCATCACCACCACTGCTAACCATTATCATTATCGTTCACCACCACCCACACCCACCACCACCACCTACACCCACCACCATCACTGTTGTCACTCATAACTGTCACTACCATTATTGTCACTCAAAACCCATCACTATTGTCATCTACGACTGATACCACCACCACGGTTGTTGCCTTACCCGCCACAATTATCACTGTCTCCCACCATCGCCACTATCGCCCACCACCACTACCACCGTTCACCTCTACTACAATTGGTACTTAAATTTTTTTATCTTTCCTCTATGATTGTGATTTGATTTTAAGTATGAATACAAATATGTTGACCATTTTTTTTATTATTTCTTACCTTCAAGTACGAGAAATAACTAGTATATATGTATTATAAAACACGAAACACAATAACGATCTTGTGCTTATGTTTAACGACTTACATTTTAATCAATCACTTATATTTGAATCGTAATACATGTTTTAACTACTTTTACTTACATTTTAAGTTCAATATACGATTTCTAATATGCCCAATATCTGTCCACCGACAAGAATCATATCCCCCACTGATTCTCGCATATATTTCTTTCTAATTATTTTTCAAATTCCTATTTTCAGGTAATTTAATTGCATTTACTATTCTATATTTTCCTTTTTTTATTTGCTAAAGCTATCTTCCAAATGAATTTAAATGCAACAGGGCAAGCAATCTCGTGGTCTCTGAATTTAGTTATTTGTTGATTAATAGACCTTCTCACTCTCTTTGTTAAGTTCAGTCAGATATGTGGTTCAATGCAAAATGGCCAACACCCAATTTAAAAAAACCTTGATTCTTGTGGAAAACCGAAGAATCATGTGAGGAATTGGTATTATTTAATAAAAAAAAAGTCAATGAAATACTATTGCTTTCCTTGGCATACCCACCTTGATCTTCACTGATTTTTGGCACTTATGATGAAAATAAAAATAAAGTAATTGAGAGGACAAATATTGTATTCCTTTTTTTTTTTTATACTTTTTTTTTGGGAGGGGAAGGGGAAGGGGGACTTGAACCATTGATCTCAAGAAGGTAAAACCTTTATAAGATAAGAAGTACCTTTACAAGACAAGAAGGTAAAATATTGAACTCAAAAAATATTAAAAAAAACGTAAACAGTGATCTTTATTAGAATGAAACTGTTAATTCAAAAAAAATTAATAAATAATGAACTTTAATAGAATAAAATTCCTAATTCACATTCCAAAATTTTTACAAACACTGAACTACAATCAACAATAAAATAGAAATTTCACTACCAAGAATCAAGGAATCAATTGTAACGCTGAAGCAATATCAATATATATATATATATATATATAATAAAACACAAAGCACAATAATCAATCTTAATTTTTTTTTAATTAGAAATTTCATTCTATTAAAGATCACTGTTTTGAGGTCACTGTTTACATTTTTTTTAAATATTTTTTGAGTTCAATATTTTAGATATATATTTCAAAATTCAAATTTTTAATATTTTTGTAATTTACTGTTTGTGAAAATTTTGGACAATGAACTTTTACAGCTTTTGGAGTTCACTGTTTATATTTTTTTCAATATTTTTGAGTTCATTATTTTTTATATATATATTTCACAATTCAAATTGTTAATATTTTTGTAATTTACTGTTTGTGAAAATTTTGGACAATGAACTTTTACTGCTTTTGGAGTTCACTGTTTATATTTTTTTCAATATTTTTTGAGTTCATTGTTTTTGATATATATATTTCTCAATCAAATTTTTAATATTTTTTGAGTTCACTGTTTTTAAATCTATCACAGATATTTTAGCAACAAAACAAAATCAAAAGGTTATTGCATGAATCAATATGAGACACTCAATATTTAGAAATCAACAGCAACTCATGTAGTGGACACGTAAGAGTAGATCAAAAAATCTTGTTATCTACTTAGAATATAAAATTAAAAGGGACAATAGCTAACAGTAGAGTATGACCTAAAATATAAAACAAAACTAAAACATGATTTTAAACTAAATATAACATAGATAATTAGAATTGGAATAAATTGGTTTATGAATTCGAGAGCTGTGTGGTCACTATCTTAGAACAACTATATCTCATCACGTGAAAGTACTAACAGACACAAGTTGATGGCCCGGCCCAGACCAAGCGCATAATTACAGACCATACTAAGAATCGTAGACCAAGTTCACCTAAAGCATACATGCCAACTCCACCATAAGATGCAAGAAACTTGATCAGGTTAGTCGCGCTATTTTGAGAGACTCAGTTTACAATTGACATATAAGGAGATCTCTGTATAACGAGCATGTCGTCACCTCCACGAAACTGTCTCGTCTGTTACGAGAATGATGCCACTTCTACCGATCTATCTCACCTGTTACAAGAATGATACCTCAATCTGTTAAGAGGTGCCTATACATTATAAGCTCTACCTACACAAGAGAGACATCTCTCACATCTCATTTACATTTGAGCACTCTATACTCTTTGAATAATAAAATACTCAGGTCATCTTAACCCTTCACAGTGGAATGGATCACCCCTGACCGAACCACTTAAACTGTGTTTTGCTTGTGTTAACTTTCATAATTTATTACTGCATTTAATACTTAACAGGTGGTGCATAAATACGTTTTGTACATCATAAATTTGAAGGCGTCTGTGAGAACGATTTAGTTTTTACCCTACTCTATTTCCTATTCTTATAATCATTATGACTAAATCCATGAATCAACAAATAGAAGATGATCAACAACACTAGGAGGAGGCCTTGCCTCTGCCAGCAAATCTCGTCCTTGAACCACGGTAAAAGTTGTTAGAAACTATGTAGTTATTGGTGAATCAAAACCAATAAATCCTTAAGTTGATGCTCTTTGGACTCCCTGAAGAAGTTGTGTCCCAGCAGCCAAAAGGGGAAGCACACCAGGCATCACGCCCAGGGTGCCAAAGCGTACCTAGCAATGCCAAGGCGCCCCCTTGTAGCGCCAGGGAGCCCCTCCTTATCGTCAGGGCGCTTTGACTCCCTCTCCTTGCTAGCCGCTCTGTCCTTCCATGTTGGTGAACCTCTCTTTCAAGAAGATGAGGGGAAAAACCAGTATGTGGACCATAAGAGCTAATACATTGACCATTCGAAAGACGTCCATAACCACTAGGATGAAAAAATCATAAAAGTGCAGAACTAACTCAGCGACGTCTTCAATGCCATGAAGGCATAAGGGCCTAAAATAATCGAGCACTTAGTGAGGCGTACTGATACGCTCTTTGTTGCTAATGTGGACAACTACCCTCTCCCCCCAAAGTTTAAGATGTCAACCAAGGAAGCGTTTCATGGCTCCAAAGATCCACTAGACCACATTAACACCTACAAATACCTAATGTAGCTACACAACATACCAAACGAGATCATATGTAGGGCTTTCCCTATCACCTTAAGGGATTTGCTAGCCAGTAGTTTGACAAGCTTACCCCGGCTTCCATTAACTCTTTTGTTGAACTATGCAAGTCCTTCATCTCACACTTCATTAAGGGATGCCGACATTAGAAGCCGGCCACCTTTCTGCTCAACATCAAGCAGGATTGGGATGAAAGTTTAAAAAATTACCTCATTCATTTTAATGAGGAGGTCTTCCAGATTG